GAGGAGATTGGATTTATACCCTGCCCTTCACTACCCAAAGGTGTCTTAGAGCGGCTTACAAACTCCTTTCCCTTCCCCTCCCCACAACAGACACCCTGTGAGGTAGGTGGGGCTGAGAGAGCTCTGAAAGAAACGGCTAGCATGTGTATCTCCAAGTAAGAATCACAGAATGTTAAGAGTTGGAAGGGACCTTGCAGGTCATCTAGTCCAACCCCCTGCACTCTGCAGGAGCAGAGCCGAAAGACAGTACATTTGGGAAGCCAAGGTCCCATTTCTCCTCTTCATCACAGGAACAGACTCAGCCCACATGGCCGAACCAGTCAAAGTGGCCACTTTATTACAACTCTTCGTTAATGATGCACACACACCTTCAGAGACATTGGAAAGTTTATACCAGATGGTTATATCAGTGAAGATTACCATGAGAAAGGATCCACAGCCTCCTTTATAAACTTTCAGCAAGCGCACGACATATGAGACAGCAACACCTGCTCTGGATTTACACGTATTAACTTCTAGATGTGTGTCTTTTTGAAATGGTATATATTATTTGACCACTGAGGTAGGCCCTAGAGCAGAGGTGTCAAACATGTGGCCCGGGGGCCAGATCAGGCCCCCGGAGGGCTTCTATCAGGCCTGCAGTGGAACTGGCCATCTCCTGCTTCCAGTTATGCTGCTGCATCACAGCTTGCTTCACCAGGCTCTCTCAATCGCTCAGCCATTTCATGTTTCCCCCTGGGTCCTAGACTCTGAACTCTGAGCATGAGATTTCTGTGGTGAATGTCGATAAATCAAAAGTAGGTTTGCAGCTTACAGAGCTAATGTTTTAAGCATATTTTTATTTTAAGTAAAAAAAAACCCTTTGTGTTTGTGTCCTTTATAAAGTTTATATCTCCGCTCCCTGGCATTACCTTTTATGACACACGTGGCCCGGCCCAACTAGGTCTCATTTATGTTAGATCTGGCCCTTGTAACAAATGAGTTCGACACCCCTGCCCTAGAGACCGAAACGTGTATGGTTTTTGTTGGTCATTGGATACATCAACAGTGCATGTGAAATCATCAGCTTTGTAGGTGAAATAACTACAGATTATGTAAAGCTCATGTTCTATGCAGTCTGATATTCAGACCTTATGTTTTTAATCTTTGCCATTGTGTACCCCATATAATGGAGCTGCGGTGGCTCGAGTGCTTAAGACGCTGAACTGCAGACTGGAAGGTCGTTCGTTTGGGAGTTCGAGACCCGAGTGTGCCGCATGACAGAGTGAGCTCCCATCTCTAGTTCCAGCTCCTGCCAACCTAGCAGTTCGAAAGCAAGAAACTGCAAGTAGATAAATAGGTACCATTTCAGTGGGAAGGTAACAGCGTTCCGTGTGCCTTGGTGTTTAGTCATGCCGGCCACATGACCGAGGAAACGTCTTCGGACAGCGCTGGCTCTTTGGCTTTGAAACGGAGATGAGCACCGCAACCCTAGAGTCGGATTAGACTGGCTTTCGAGCAAGGGAACCTTTACCTTTACCTTTTACCACATATAATAAATATATATATTGATAATATTTTATTTGAGGTAGCTTGACCCTTACAGCATTATTGAACCCATCAAAGGCCAGGAACCAAAGAAAGACACTGAGTTGCTTCTTCCAGCAATCTGAACCCACAATTCTGAAAACCCAAACACCCTCAGGTGAAGAAGAGAAGAAGAGATTGGATTTATACCCTGCCTTTTACGTGGAGTCTCAGAGCAGCTTACAATCTCTTCCCTTCCTCTCCTCACGACAGACACCCTATGATGTAGGTGGGGCTGAGAGAGCTCTTTCAAGGACTGACCTTGAGAGAACAGCTCTCAGAGAACTTGTGACTGACCCAAGGTCACCCAGCTGGTTGCATGTGGAGGAAGAGTGCGGAATCAACCCCGGTTCTCCAGATTAGAGTCCGCCACTCTTAACCACGGCACCAAACTGACACGGTAAGGGGTGGGAAGGAATCCTTCATTTCTTTGGATACATTTTTTTTTTTTTTAAGAACCAGATGGTTTCTAGCAGAGTTACCAAGTAAATTATTATTCTATTCTGGAACTGATTATATTGACAGAAAAGGGAGACAGCACCTGCCACGGACAAAAAAAGGAGAATAACATCCCTGGCCAAGGGGAAAATCAACTCTTTACTCCCTTCCTCTTCTCGCATAAGTCTACTTGTATGACCACACCAGTGTTCCCTCTAACCTCACCTATGATTAGAAGAAAATTAATAAACATATTACTCACTGCAGCAAAAATGATAATAGCAAAAAATTGGAAAGACAATCCCACCCCCCTAACATCAGACAATGGCTTCACAAAGTATGGGACCTATTTATGTTAGAGAATTTTTCGATTTATAACTCTAGTGATCGAACAGAATGTGAGTTCTATAACCCTTTACATTTATGGTACCCTATACTGGAAAATTATGAAAATATGAAATTGAGCCAACTTCGGAGGACGGCGGAAGACAGGAAGGCCTGGCGTGATTTGGTCCATGGGGTCGCGAAGAGTCGGACTCGACTGTGCGACTGAACAACAACAACAAAAATACTGGAAAAAAAATAACAATCGACAAATTTGATTGGGAAACGATCACTGATGCTAAATACAAAATTATGCTGTACAATTAAGACGCAAAGATAGTGTGTACTGGTTTGAAAAAACGTTACACAGCACTCTCTTTGTATTTTTCTTTTACTAACTTATATGTTACATACATTCACTCCAATAAGCCTCATTGCACCCAAAGCATAGGTTGAAGTTATATTGCTATAGAGTTAATTTTTATGAAGCAGCTTTGATTGCATTTTAATGTATAACGTCTGACTTTCTTTTTGACTGTTTCTGCATAAAAAAAAAATCAATAAAAATATATATTTTTAAAAAAGTGTTCCCTCTAAGCTGAGTTAGTGTGAGCCAGCTCAGTTTTTTAGCCTCTGGCTCACACATTTTTGTCTTCGCTCAGGAAGGAGGGCTCCAGATCAAACTGATTTATGCAGTAGCCAAATCACTTGCTCACAACTTTAGTGTCAGTAGCTCACAAAGTAGAATTTCTGCTCACAGGACTCCACAGCTTAGAGGGCGCATTGGACCACACACCTTGTAAGTGTGGAGTTTAGGGATGCCACCCTCCAGGTGGGACCTGAGTATCCCCCAGAATTACATCTGATCTTCAGACTATAGAGAGCTGTTCTCCAGGAGAAAATGGATGCTTTGGAGGGTGGGCTCTGCGGCATTGTACCCCACTGAGGTTCCTCTCCTCTCCTCCCCGAACCCCACCCAGGCTCCATCCCCAAATCTCTAGGAGTTTCCCAACCTGGATCTAGCAACCCAACCCCAACCCCCTTCACTAGTCACCAGGGAGGTTCTGGCAACCCTACTGTCATGATGCGGGGCTGGGTAGGGGCGAGACAGTCAGGATACAGTCTGAAGTCAAGAGCCAGTCAAGCAAGCCAGCCGAAAAACCAAGTCTAATACACAAAGTGCGAGCGGGGTGGTCAAGGTACAGTCCAAAGTCAAGAGCCAGGCAAGCCAACCAACCGGAGAACCAAGTTCAAAGCACAAACCGTTAGAGTCGTCAGGAAGCCAGAGTCCAAAAGAGTCAAGAGCCAGGGAGTCAAAGGTTCGAGGTGCAGAGTCTAAGTGCAGTCGTTCAAGCCGAGGTCAAGGAGCCAAGGGAATCCAGACAGGAACTAGGAGTTAGGAACACGAGCAAGGAGGTGCAGAGCTTCGTCCAAAAAGACGAGTTGCTGGCATGATTTGTCGGCGTGAGGGTGTGGATCAAATAGCCCATAAGCCTGCTGGCAATTAGCGCGCCCCAAGCGAGTCCCGGCTCCTGCTAATACTCGGGGCTGAATGAGCGCCTGCCACACATGTGTGCCTCTCGCTGCTGGGCTGCCATATCCCATCGGCGCTGTTCTCTCAAGCGAGATACCGGTGGAGGCGAATCAGGAGGAGAACCGACCGGGCGTGTTTCTGCCTCAGCTGTTGCTGGGGTAGCCTCTGGAAGCTCAGCCCTGTCAGGTGCGGGAGTTTCCGGCATCGAGAGCTCATCCCCAGCAGCACTTAGATCCTCCGCTGGGGCTGCTTGCTCGCATTCAGCAGGAGCCGTGACGCCTAGCGGAATTTGATATCGGCCTAGTTCTGCTTTCTTTCTCTTCCCTCCAGGTTTCTAGTCCTTATGACTGAGTCTGAAAATGTATACACCGTGCCTAAAACCTCTGCAACCCTTCCTCGTCACTAGGGGCGGCAGGGAAAATGAAATGAAGTGAGAAGAGTTTGCAAACATACCCTACCAGCTCCAAAAAAAGACTTTACCATGGGGGAGAAAAGCATAAGTTGCAGTCACACGTGCCAGAAAAAATGGGTCACACGAGGCTATTTCCTCCGGAGGAATTTCACCCGCAAGTTGCACAAATCATACCTCCCTTTGAAACTGTGGGCGCAGTCTGTCAGTGCATGATCAGACGCAACTGCAGGTGAGTCTTTTGTGTGCGAGCGGCGTGTGTTTCCCATGCGCTTAAACGAGGGATCGATGAATCGCACCTCTGCACCGAGGGCTCCCTATGGAGTTTGCAATGATGCACATACTGAGAAGGGGGGGGGAACAATGGCACGGAGCTGGGATGGCCCAATCAGACCATCCCGACACTATGAGAGCACGCTGGAGCGATCAGAGATGGGAAAGTCCATCCGTGGCCCGTCGCAACCCGTTTACTACCGGGTTCTCCCTGGTGCCTTTTAACTCTGCTTCTGCAGCAAAGCAGAACGGGTTGCCGACGGCTGCGGGGTGCTTCCCAGATATTGTTGTCTGATTTAAATCCTTTAAATCCACCTGGCATTCGCGTCTATGTCGGGTCTAACTATGCGTATGATCGCAGCCATAGTTCATTTTTTTTCCCCTCAGAAGCAAATACAGAGTCACACGAACAATCTCCCTTCCAACAACACACATATTGAAACCACGGTCTCTTACCGTCGCCTTCGGCCGGTCTGTAGGGATTGTACTTGGGTTTGGGGGCTACCACCGGAGCAAACTTCTTGGGCGTCTGCTGAGTAGACACGGAGATGCTGGGGGTCCCAAAGGCGTGGGTGGTCTCCATCCGGGCAGTCACATGACCGACCGGCTCGCTGGAGTTCTTGGGGGGCAGCCATGACGGGTGAGCCATCACGCAGGGCTATGAAGAGAGATCTGCAAAATACAGAGAGAGAGAGGTGTGTTGTCACGAAAGGATGCTGAGAGGCAGGAAAAGCACAAACAGAGAAAGGGGGGTGTTTTTTTTTTAATTTTCCAAACAAACAAATCATAATCAATGCTCCCTCTAAGCTATGGAGTCTCGTGAGCAAAAATTCCTCTTTGTGAGCTACTGGCATTAAAGTTGTGAGCGAGCGATCTGGTTACTGCATAAATCAGTTTGTTCTGGAGCCACATCCTTCCTGAGCTAAGGCAAAAAATGTGCGAGCCAGAGGCTAAAAGAACTGTGAGCTAGCTCACACTAACTCAGCTTAGAGGGAACACTGATCATAATGCAAGCCAATATAGATGTTATACAGCAGTTATTACATAGCAAATCTATTCAATAGATATAATACAAAATACAGAATAATATAGAACTACCTAAATTAAGACTAACTGTATTACACACAAACTAACATAACCAGCAATACCTAAATGATTGAAACTTAACATTGGCTGCGGTCACACGGAGCATTAGGCACGCTAGAGAGACGGAAGATAGGCGGATTTTCCGGGCGCGATCTCACCGCCACATCTGGGAAGCGTAGAGCTCCCGTGGCTCACCCGAGGCTTCACTCCAAAGATGCGCTGTAAAAAACTAGTACCTCCGAGGTACTAGTTTCCAGAAACCGCGGGGCATGGGCAGGCGTCTGATCGCGTTTCTGGTGGTAGTTCCGGCGCCCGCCCATGTCCCCTCGCAAAAAGGGTTTTTTTCCCTCAAGTCTCCACGGATGCGCTCAAGCACCCAACGGAGCATGCACACACTTTAGTTTAACAAAAAACCACAACCCTGTTTGCCCCATGGCCCCGCTTCTTTGCAGCGCCACAGGAGTGTCCTGTGATCGGCACCTCCGCCTAACTACGCGGCCTCCACGGGATGTCTGCTCGCGCAACCGCACATTATTTTGCCCCGGGGCAAACAGCCACGCTCCCCCCCCCGCATTTTCCGGCCCGTATGATCAGGGCCATTATCAGTATTACTATACACCACCCAATATACCAGCCATAAAATATACAGACCATCCATGGGAGGAACACTAAACAGAAATTAAGGATTTCAAGTTTTTCGGCACCACTTCAATTTTCGACACATAATCTAGCATAATGAGCCAAACCTCAGCAAAGTCAGAGCCAGACGCATGCGATTCATACTTAATCACCTCATAAGTGATATTTTGCCATCAGGTATATGTCCCATAACTTTACAATGCCACAAGCCTAGCGTAGGCACCTCCACACTTTTCCAAACTGTAGCTATAGCTGTTTTTGCAGTTACTAGAAGCAAGGCAATGTTAAATAAAGAAGTGCGGGGGGGGGGGGGAATACCAAGGTGGAAAATCTCACAAAGGGAGGGAAACTCCCCCAGAAGATTTCATCTTCAAGAAATTACACCTTTCCAATATTAAGAAAGGAGCTGCGGTGGCTCAAGTGGTTAAGACGCTGAACTGCAGGCTGTGGAAGGTCGGTAGTTCAGCAGTTCGAGACCCGAGTTGCCGCATGACGGAGTGAGCTCCCGTCTCTAGTTCCAGCTCCTGCCAACCTAGCAGTTCAAAAGCAAGAAATTGCAAGTAGATAAATAGGTACCACTTCAGTGGGAAGGGAACAGCGTTCCGTGCGCCTTGGTGCTTAGTCATGCCGGCCACATGACCACTTCGGCTTTGAAACGGAGATGAGCACCACAACCCTAGAGTCGGATTCGACTGGCTTTCAAGCAGGGGAACCTTTACCTTTAATATTAAGAAGGCCAAACCACATAATACGCTATACTTTTTTTTTGGTGGGGAGGGAATGTGAGATAAATAAGTCGGTCCCCAACTTTGGGGGGCTTCTGGGCCCTTTTGGGATTTTGAGAGGACGTGGTGAGCGCCACCCCAAAATGGCGGCCTCAAGGGGTGAAGCCAAACCCAAAATGGTTGCCTCACGAGGGAGAACTGAACAGAATACCTCCCTCTTCACATCTCCCGGGGAAGAAGATCCTGAAAGGGGAACGGAACCACACATTGACTAAAGAAAGCCCAGACGCCTCCCAGTCCTCCTCCTCCTTTCACTGAGATGCGGGAAGCCAGTTATAACCTTACAGTGTCCTCGCCTACTTTCTGAAAAGATCATCGGGCACCAAGGAAAGTACTGGCAGGTGTCATGGAGCCCCCGTGCACCATGTTGGGGAACCGTGGATTAATTCATAAGGGTTTGTTCTACTATTGGCTGTTAAATACTGGGTTCTAGACGCATTGCAGTGATCAACCTCTGGTTTATTAAGCGATTTCAGCAAACTACAAGACAACTAGCAGGGCTTGAGCCCTGCTTATAAAGCATGCAAACACCACACCCAACACCCACCCACTCCCAGTGATAGGCTATTTACATTATACTACTTTTCTATTGGTTAGATCCAGGATCCTGGCGAGCTATTGTTCTAAAGTAGCAAGCTCGACCTGTTCCGGGTACAGCTTGAGGAATGGCTTCGTCTCAGTACATAACAGCGTCCATTTCCTCTTGCAATAAATCTGAGCCCTCTTATGTCAGCAGAAGGGAAGCAGTCCGCACAGTCCAGCCCATTGAATGTACATTTATGGTGCCTCCACAAGAGGAGGAGGAGGAAAGGAAGAAGACGAAGACGAAGAAGATGAAAACGACGAAGACGAAGACGAAGAAGAAGAAGACGAAGACGAAGAAGACGAAGAAGAAGAAGACGAAGAAGACGAAGAAGAAGAAGAAGAAGATGAAGACGATGAAGACGAAGAAGAAGAAGAAGAAGAAGAAGAAGAAGAAGATGAAGACAAAGATGAAAAAGAAGACAAAGACGAAGAAGAAGAAGACGACGAAGACGAAGAAGAAGACGAAGAAGACGAAGAAGAAGACGAAGAAGACGAAGAAGAAGAAGAAGAAGACGACGAAGAAGAAGACGAAGAAGAAGACGAAGACGAAGAAGAAGAAGAAGAAGAAGAAGAAGAAGAAGAAGAGAAGAGAATGGATTTATACCCTGCCCTTCACTACCCAAAGGTGTCTCAGAGCGGCTTTCCCTTCCCCTCCCCACAACAGACACCCTGTGAGGAGGAGGCGGAGGAGGAGAAGAAGAGGAAAAGGAGGAGAAGAGATTGGATTTATTCTCCGCCCTTCACTACCCAAAGGAGTCTCAGAGCGGCTTACAAACTCCTTTCCATTCCCCTCCCCACAACAGACACCCGGTGAGGTAGGTGGGGCTGAGAGAGCTCTTGACAGAAACTGCTCTTTTTCAAGGACCAAAACTGCATCTCTATAGTCTAGTAATGAGCGGCAGCACAGTGTAGTGATTAAAGGTTCAGCCTCTCATCCACGAGACCCAGGTTCGAATCCCTACTCACGCCATAGAAACTCGCTGGGTGATCTGAGGCCAGTCGCCCACCCTCAACCTAACCTATGTCACAGGGTTGTTGTGAGGATAAAATGGAAGAGAGCAAAATGATGTAAGCCGCAAGACAGGAATAATATTATAAGTAAATAAATACAAAATGAAATCGTAAGGTACATTCGTGAAATGTGCACCGGATCGGAGTCACACTCCAAACATCTGGGCGACCCTTGCCAAGGTTAATCTGGTGAAACACAGAAACATTCCCTGACTTATTGACTGTAGTCCAATTTTTTTTTAACTCTGTGGGGAAAGTTCATCGATTTCAGTTCTGTGAACTCCAGCCACTCCACACAACACTTTTCCTTTCAAAGATTATCGACTTTCCCCCCTTATATTATTCATGCCATACGAATGCCCATGATAAAACACGCTGTGCGGAGGCAGAAAGAGCCAAAAATGCATTTTGATAAGAAGTGTCTCTCAGGAGAATGAGCAAGATGCACGAAACCGTGCTCAAAGAAAGGATGCCAAGGACCACTGGGGTGGGGGCTGTTCCCATCAGAAGAGGGCGGTGTTCCTTATAATTAGGACCGTCACCTCTGGGTCGGGAACTACCTGGAGATTTGGGGGGGGGGAGCCTGAAGAGGGCGGGGTTTGGGGAGGGGAGGGACCTCAGCAGGATATAATACCGAAGAACCCACCCTCCAAAGCAGCCATTTTCTCCAGCAGAACGGATCTTGGTCATCTGGAGACCAATTATAACAGCAGGAGATCTCCGGGTGTCGCCTGGAGGCTGGCAACCCTAATTATAACCCACAAGGAACACCCGTTTAACTGGAAGCGATAGAAGAAGAAGCACTTTGTGGCACCAGTTAAATGTTGTTTGTTGTTCAGTCGCACAGTCGAGTCCGACACTTTGCGACCCCGTGGGCCGCATCACGCCAGGCCCTCCTGTCTTCCGCCGTCCTCTGACGTTGGCTCAATTTCGTGTTTGTTGCATCTATGACACTGTCCAACCATCTCATCCTTTGCCGTCCCCGTCTTCTTTGACCTTCAATCTTTCCCAGCATCAGGGTCTTCTCCTCCAGGGAGTGCTCCCTTCTCATTTGGTGGCCAAAGTATTTGAGCTTCAGTTTCATTATCTGGCCTTCCAGGGAACAGTCAGGGTTGATTTCTTTTAGGATTGACTGATTTGATCTTCTTGCAGTCCAAGGGACTCTCAAGAGTCTTCTCCAGCACCATAGTTCAAAAGAATCTATTCTTCGGCGCTCGGCCTTCCTTATAGTCCAACTCTCGCAGCCATACATGACTACTGGGAATACCATCGCTTTGACTATACGGACTTTGGTTGGCAGGGTGATGCCTCTACTTTTTATTATGCTGTCTAGGTTTGCCATCGCTTTTCTCCCCAGCAGCAGGTGTCTTTTAATTTCAAGACCAGTTAAATACAAAAATAAAAAAGAGTAGCTTCTTGGTCACAAACCTTTGACCATTATAGTAGTAGTAGTAGTAGTAGTAGTAGTAGTAGTAGTAGTAGTAGTAGTAGCAGCAGCAGCAGCAGCAGCAGCAGGGGTCATTTCGTAGAAAAAGAGGTGCAGGAGCTCATTAGCATGACTCATTA